ATCACTATGTGAAATTGTCTAATTTGTTTATGACTTCATTCAGCAGAATCTAAGCTGGATGAGAGCAGAAACTTTGGTGTGCTACTATATTCTCAAGGTTGACACATATAGGTGCTGAATAAATATTCGTTAAAAAATAATTGAATTCACTAATATTTATTGGGTTCTCATTATGTTCCAGGCAATGTACTAGGCACCAAACATAAACAGACATTATGTGATCAACTTCCTAATGATCTACTAGTAGGCTATAGCCTTTCCCAAGACTGGAATCTAAAGGACTATCACTTGTCAAGGACCTACCTTAGAGGGGAAGCAGACCTGAGTGATGTAGGGAGACCCCAATGGCTCCGTTGAGCCCCTGCATCAAACTTTATTCATGGTTAGTGGACTCTTAGATTTTTTATTTATTTTATTATTTTATTTTATTTTTAAGATTTTATTTATTTATCTGACAGAGAGAGAGAGAGCACAAGCAGGGGGAGCAGCAGAGGGAGAGTGAGAAGCAGGCTCCCCGCTGAGCAGGGATCCCAATGCGGAGCTTGATCCCAGGACTCTGGGATCATGACCTGAGCCGAAGGCAGACGCTTAACCGACTGAACCACCCAGGTGCCCCGGACTCTTAGATTTTTTAATTTCATGAGCCCACAGGTTGTCTTGTGTGTTTATGCCAATTTGATCTGGGTCTCTGCCCTTTGCAAACCAAAGAGTCCTAACCCATAAATATGCAACAGAGTTGCAAAGAGCCATGGACTCTTCATGCATTGTGGATGGACATGGACATAGGTAAGTAGATGGAGACAATTTGATTTTCCAGTTCCTCTTAGGAAAGCCACAGAATTTATCTGAGATGGAGAGAACTGAGACAGCTGGGTATAAGTCAAATTTCTCTACATGTGAAAGGAAAGAATCCTCTTGTTAATCCAATGGGAGAAGAAGGAGGAAGAAGAAAGGAAGGAAGAGGTGAGGTAGGAGGGCATGAGATGCCAACATTAACTCAGCCTCCTAATCCCCAGATCATTAGGAAAGTTCGCAAACCTTCACAGTGCTTAGGTGCAGGTGGATTTGTATGTGTGGAGGTCAGGGAGACGTGGTGCAGGGGCTGGATTCTGTGCCTGGATGGACAGGGTATGGAACTGAGGCAGTACAGATGGAGAGGCAGAGTAAGGTCTGGGAAAGATGTCCCTGAAGTCTAGAAAATGGGGAGGAGGCACTGGATTCTCCCAGGCTGTGGATTTGGGCTCAACTCATGTTGCTCCAGATCTCCCAAGAGCAAGGGGCCTCAGATGATATCTGGTCTGTATAGATGTTTTTTGCTTCTATTAAATATATTCTCAGTACATCACATTTCATTCATGTGCTAACATGAATAAATAGTTTTACATATACATATTATAGTCTTTGGCTTTATATATAATTTTTTTAATCTTACACAGAACTTTTCTTCCAAAGCCTTTTAGGCTCTTTTAGAAGTTTCAGTGTATTTTATACATTTCAACCTATTTTAGAAGCTCCATCCTTATGTTCTGTAATTGTCATGGGGTTGCTATGATCATCCCACTTTGAATGTTTTACAGGAATTTGTTTTTCTTCTAAAAACATGGCCCAGGGCCAGAACCTGATTATAGATATCTGAGCCAGTGGTCAGTGTCAACTCCAGAAAGAAATGTTATGAATTTCTAACATATTGTATAATCCAGCCTTTCTGAAATGACTGATGCTATTTTAAAAGCAAGAAGTAATCACAGTGCATGCTGTGCTCAGTGGCTTGTCACCATTGTGGATCAGAAGACAGGCACTGGCCAGATCTTGTACCTGGGACTGAGTCAAACAGGACCTGAGCACAGAGTTGCTGTCCTCCGTGCGGAGAGGCTCATAGCCCTCGGGGCTGGAGGATGGCAGTGCCTAGGGATGCAGGTGGTAGTGGTCTCATCTCCTCATCATTCAGTCCTTTGGCATTTACTGTGTGCTATAGAGCAGAAAGAGATGGAGGCAGTGGGGAGCAGTTAAAGACACAGGCTCTGGTTCAGCCCTAGTTTCCTCTATGTTAAGCTTCTTTCCTCTTGGGGCGCCTGGGTGGTTCAGTCGGTTAAGCGTCTGCCTTCGGCTCAGGTCATGATCTCAGGGTCCTGGGATCGAGCCCTGCATCAGGCTTCCTGATCAGTGGGGAGTCTGCTTCTCCCTCTCTCTCTGCCGCTCCTGCTTGTGCTCTCTCTCTCTCCCTCTCTCTGTCAAATAAATACATAAATCTTAAAACAAATTAAGCCTCTTTTCTCTTGAAGCCTCAGATTCTTCATCAGTAAAATGGTGGTGATTAAAACCTATTTTGCAGAATTGTTGTAAGGATAAAGTGCAGATACTGTACAAAGCATTTAGCCTGGGGTTAGTATGTAGACGCCTCTCAACAAGGGAAGCTATGACGTGTTATTACTATTATCAGAGCATCAGTGAAATTATTCACTGGTGTGAAGAGGCAAACATATGGAAATAATAAGAGGTTGCGGTAAAAAAAAACACGTAGTAGGAACATCTACACAAAAACAATTTGCATCATGTAGACTATGTAAATGTTTCGATTTTTATGTCACTGCTACATCTATAGTGATTCAGCTATCTAGTAGGTAAAATGAAAAGTATTTGAAAAATCAAATTCTCCCAATTCCTTAGTTAAGCTCTGAAAGATCACCATGATACGGGTATGGTTATGTCAGTATGCTAACCTAGCATGCTTTGATACTTCACCCCTCCACTTCTCACCTGCACTCCCCATGCACTGCAGTTCCACGCTCATTGGGGAGAATCTCATTGTGAGATTCTCTCTCCCTCTGCCCCTCTTCTCCACTCTCTCTCTCTCTAAAACAAAGAAATAAGTCTTTTTTTAAAAATGGGATACTTCAGCTCACAGTGTTGTAGGAATTTATATAAAAATACCTCAAGTTCTCGGTGAAGGATCTACTATGTGCAAGGTAGTTAATAAGTGGTTGTTATTTTTTCAATGATTGAAAATATTTGCTACATGCTGATGATTGACAACATCCTAGCCTTTCCATTGGCTTAGTAAATAATGTACTCAGGGGTGCCAGGGTGGCTCAGTCAGTTAAGTGTCTGCCTTTGGCTCAGGTCCTGATCCCAGAGTTCTGGGATTGAGCCCCATGTTGGACTCCCTGCTCAGCGGGGAGTCTGCTTCTCTCTCTCCCTCTGCCCTACCCCTGCTCATGCTCGCTGTCTCTCAAATCTTTAAAAAATCAACAAACAAGTAAAATAAACATCTTGAAAGTATTGCTGTTATCATGCGGTTTATAAACTACAGATGTTCACAAATTGGACGTTGGTTAGATCAGCATTTCTCAAAACATGGTCCAGGGATTCTTGGGGGTCCCAGAGATTCTTTTAGCAAAGTCCCCAAGACACTTTTATGGGATCTGTAAGATTACATTCTCTTCCTAATACTACTCTGACATCATTTGTCCTTTTTACTCTCATTCTGTCACCAGTGTTTTAGAGGCTACACGATGTGTTATATCACCAAGAGATTAAATGAAGCAGATATAGGAAATCAGCTGTCTTCTTTAGACATTTAGAGACATTTGCAAAAATATATAATAATGTTATTCTTCTCCCTATAATTTTTTTGTTTTGGAAATATAGTTATTTTTCATTGGAGTGTTATTTGAGTTAACATGTAATTGTTTTATTACTGGAATCTTAAAATAAATTAATAAAATATTTAAAAATCTCTCATAATTCTGATATGGTAAATGTTGATAGTTATAACCCACATAATCAAAAACTCTTTGGAGTCCTCAGTAATTTTTAAGATCTTAAGGAGTCCTGAGTCCAAAATCTGTGAAAATCATTGGATTTGGTACATTATGGTCCATGCAATATGGAATATTATGCAGTCATCAAAAATATCACAGAAATGTATTTGTTGATAAGGAAAAATATTCATAATATATTAAGTGGCAAAAGGTTACAAATTGGTGTGCTGTGTTACCCTATTCTTGTTTAAAAAATGTATATGCATATGAATAAAAGATGATTCTAACTATTTTATGTTCATTTGCTTGTCTACATTTTCTGTCTTTTCTGCATAATTAGCATGGATTGCTTTAGTAATAAGAACAAGAAAATTGATTTTGAAAAAAATTCAATTTACTAAAGCATTCATGGTTGCCTTATAGCAAATAGTCATGACTGAAGATGCATATTTCTTCCATTATCTGACTACAGTAGAACAAATGGTTTAAAAATAGTACAAGCTAAATTCTAGGAAATTCTACATATTCTTGGGATGATGATTTGCAACGTTTTGAAATAACAGATAATAGTGTTCACCTAAAACGACCTGGAAACTTGACAAAGCATTTAAAAATGGACTGAACTAAATTTTAATGTTCTGGAAATACACAGCATTATGAAGCTGGAACAAGTTGTTCACAGATTAGTTTCATGTCCTGTTCTGGGGCTTTGTCTATCTATTTCTTTCTCTTTTTTTGCACTTAATACTACAAAATGGTAACTTGTATTATTCTCTGATGGTAACACATGTCTCCATTTTGTCACCAGGATGAGATTGTGTTGTCCTTCAGAGCAAGGACCAGGTCTTAAAATTCTTTTGCAACAATTATCACGGTACCCGACTGACAGAGTTCAATATGGAGGAAGCACTAAGTAAACACTTGAAAGATTGAAATGTTTCATCTTTCTTTCAGACTTATTGTCCAACTAAATCATTCTTATTTCACATGAAAACCCTAAAATGTCTTCATTACTATATTACAACTGTAGAAGGAGCTGGAGAATTCTTAATATCAAAATGTTTAGTTATACCTGCAGCTAAAACAAAACTAAGCTTCTCTTCTGCAACCAGATATAGATGTTTATTACTTAAAAACAAAACAAAACAAAACTTTCTCACTGATTCAGTGGCTGACAGATCTTCACACTCTATGGTGCTAATTGCCTTATTTATGTCTGTTTTTTTCCGTTTGAAACAGAAGCACATGCATTACCCGACTGAAGGATGGCTGATTTTCTGTATCAGCTGCCATGCTCTGATGACTTCTAGAAGAGAAGGGAGTGAGACAGGAGGCTGCTGGACTATCTCCAACAGGTACAGCCCATGCTCCAACCAGGCAGTGGCAGTGGACATGAGATGTGGGGCCAGTTTCCAAGTCTGGATTGAGTTTTTTGGTTGGAAAAAGAGAATTTGCTGATGGCTTGGTATGAGGAAGAAGGAACAGTTGAGGGTGAGCAAAGATTTCTAGCTTGGGGACAGGAGATTGGAAGGCCATCTGCAGAGTCAGTGACAGAAGGCCTAGCTAGTGAGGAACTGGATATAATGGATTCAGGTAAAGATACATTGAATATGAGTTCAGTCTGAGACTTCTGTGGTATGTGAGTACCTCACTTCTTAGAGTTTTCTCACCATTAATGGGTATTATCCTTCTCCAGGCTTTCCCCCACACTCCTCCCTGAAGGTGGAACACATCTCTGATCCTAGTGTCCCTTGAATTTATTTACTTGGCTTGAGTGTCTACTTTCTTCATCTTCAAAACCTATTAGAAAGGTTCCAAATTATCTCCAGCTTTTTCCTATAGACATTGTCTTGGAAATAATAGAACATCTGTTTTTCCAACTCAGTGTGTGATTGGAGTATCTTCTTTTTCCATCTATATCTAAAGGTTTTAGATTGTGTTGAAATTATGACCGCCTTGAAGGCAGGAAAACTGTCTCTTCTGGCAATCTGTTTGAAAGTCTTGAGAACAAATGGAATTGTATTCCAAATGAGGGGAGCATTGTATTGATCTTGAGAACCTGGAGCATGAGGATAAGCTTGTGTTGTGATAGTAGACCCCCAGAGTGAGGCTCTGAATAATCTGACTTACTGTAGTTGCTCTTCCCCTCATTAGTTGTGTAAATCACTAATCTTTCCAAGCCTGAGTTCACTCAATTAAGGAGCAAGATAATCACAAAAAACCCAAAATGATGCTTATAATAATCATCATAGTTAATATGTGTATTGATTACTTACTAGATGATAGGTATGGTGCTAAGCATATACATTATCTCACTTTCTTATCAGCAGTCCTTTGAGGGGGTAGTATTTTCACTCCCAATTTACAGACAAGAAAACAGGCTCAGAGAATTTAAGCAAGGTGCCCCGGTTCGAAAGCTAGTAAGTGGTACATCTGAATTCAAATCTAGATCCATCAAACTCCCAAGCCTTTGCCCTTTCCCACTGGGTAAGGAGCACTGTTTCTCAGGGTCCCTACCACTTCTTTCTGAAGTTTTCAAGTTTGAAACAACAACAACAAAATTATAGTGAACAGGACCATGGTGATTTCTTCTCCCCTTGCCAAAATCAAACAAGACTGCTGGAGAGCTAAAAAGTCTTTAAAAATGTGAACAAGTCCAATTTTTTATTTTAAGTGATCCTCTAACATGTTGGAAGCCTAGTCCCGTACCAAGGGGAAGATGAGCACCACTCACATTCTTGTTCTCACTGAGGGCAGGACAGGAATTGCAAAGGTGTTTACCGGGCTCTGTATGGTGGTAAGCTGCCATTGTCCCCGCCTCCAGTTAGAGCTCATGATTCATGCAGAAGAAAGCACTGTGGACATGATGTAGACATCACAGCACTGTTGGGAAGCTTGGGTGGGGGCACTGATGACTGAGAACTGTTGCCTTGGGAACATTCCTAAAGTGAGTCTAAGACATTGCTTGTAGTTAGTTTTCGGATGTTGGTTAATGACACCTGTTAGGGCAGAAGAGTCTAATGGCTGTGTCAAATCAGTAAGTTTAGAAAACCACAACACCCTCCCCCTCAATTAATTCAATCCCTAAGCACCTCCTATGGGCCAGTCACAGTGCTAGGTATTGAGGACGCAAAGCTGTACTAGACATTGAGCGTGCCCTTGGGAGCTGTGGGGAGGAGACAGACACACCAAAAATACAGCTCTACTGGGGGAAGCACAGTGCACTGAGCACACAGAGTAGGCTGAACCTAAAATAATTTCAAGGAGGAGGTAAGTTAATGGTTGAAGGTCCCTAAATAAAGGTTCTGCATTCTCTTTCTGGATACTCATCACTGAACTAGACACAAATCCAGCATAGCAATTTTTAGGCTGCTATCTAAGAGAGAAGCTGATGGACAGACGCAGCTGGAAAGTGAAAAATATGCCATCAAGATGGAGAAGAACTTTTAGGGTCTTATGAGTGTCAACTGAAGACTTCCTTACTAAGAACCATGTATTTTCAGAAATTAGGTCACAAACATCTGAGATTTTTAATATAACCAGACTGTAGAAATGGAATGCAGAATTGCATTACCTTGGACTTGTTATTCAGTCTGCTACAACATGTAACAAGTCCCAGACAGTTCCAGGTAGGCCTGAGGACTCGGCTCTGCAAATCAGTTAGGGACCCAGGTTCATGGAGGTTCCACCATCTTTAATATATGGTTTCCATCATTGCTCCAGGCATAGACATCTAGCCAGGGTAAGGGGGAAGAGCACAGAGGATATTACGTAAGAAGATTTTACAGGGTAGGCTGACCAGGAAGTGGTACAAATCCCCTCTGGTAATATTTAGTCTCTGGGCTACTGCTAAGTGGCCAAGGGCACCTGGGAAAGGCAATCCAGCTGTGACTCCAGGAAGAAGAGGAAATGGTTTGGTGAATAGCCAACAGTTTTTGCCACAACCATGGATGGGGATGGGACAAGTAATCCAAAGACGCCTTCTGGAGACCCAACCTGAAAGAAGAAAAAGTTGGAGGGCAGAGAACAAGATAATCTCTACTGAAACAGTTAAGTTCTCCTTCACCTCTCCCAGGGAATAAGGCTGAGTCACAAAGCAGCAGACAACTCCAGATTTTCCAGTTCAGTTTTCACAGACTGAAGTCAGCTGGAAATCTTTGTGTCTATATGCAAATTTACACCTTTAGTGTGAGTTATGAGTATTATATAGTATATTCTGATTATTATACTGCTTATCATGACATCATATGCAAATGTCATCCATCTCTTAATAATAATAATAGTAGTAGTAGTAGTAGCTGTTATATATTGAGTTGTCATTGGCCAAATTGAGTTTTCTCAATGAAACTATCAAGTAGCTACTATTATTATAAGAATTTTGTAGATGAGGAAATGCAGGCTTAGAAAAGTTACATTATGTGCAGTTAATATAAATCGGATAGTGTTACTCTTTTGTTTAAAAATTTAGTGGCTTCCTATTGTGATTAGAATAATCCAACCTCCTTACTTTGGCCTACATATCTTCTATAATATGGCCCAGCTTAGTTCTCTTATTTCTTCTCTTCCTTCTCTATTCTCCAGACTCAGGGGGCATCTTTTTGTTTGAAACCCCAAATTCATCTTGCCTTAGAGCCTCTGGACTTACTATTCCCTTGGCCCTGGATTTCTCAAATGTCTAGATTGTTTTTGTTAATCAGGTTGCGGGTCAAATCCCATCTCTTGAAAGAGGCCTTCCCTGACCATGCTATTTAAATTAGCACGTTCATCCCCTGGTACTTAGGGCACTTAGTAAATATTGCTGAATGAATGAAGAAAAGAGTAACTCAAACCCAGTTATAAATTAGCAAGAGGTGGAGCTGGTATTCCAATCGTTCTTCCTTATATCAAAAGCAGCTTGTGATCGTCTACTATAAAGTCCATAGGCATTGAGTACACACTGTTGGTTGGACCCAGCAGCAATGTTTTCAGAGACTGAAGACAAGAACTTGATAGATCTCAGCTGTCATTAGTGACCTCTGGTAAGGATGCCCCATTTGTGGGCTTGGTCATTTGTGACAGTCTACACAACCCTCCAGGTCTGAGTTTCTCTGTCTATGAAAAGGGGTAAAATACCACTTACCTCATCTCATTCTTGTGAGGATTACATGAGATAAGCATGCGAAAACTTCACTGGAGACTCTAAAACATGATATGAACATTTATTTTTGTCAGAAAGAAAAAGAAATACACGTTTTCTTCCTCAGTCCTTTCCGTGGAGTGTTGTACGTGGCAGGAAGTAGTGGTGGGAGGAGGGGCAGGTGGGAGGTGAGGCCCTGAGTTCTGTTTGGACTGCCTGGGACAATGCCATGCCCCGCCTGCACACCGAGGATGGGGCCTGAGTCTAGGCTTGTCATGGGGCTCACGTTAGTGAGCAGTTAGACTGGGAGCAGTTTCTGGGGGATAAACGTGCCCAAGTGAAAATTACTTTCCCCGAGAACATGACCCCACCAGTGATTCACTCTGTAGTTGGAAGAGGCCTCTGTGTCCCAGAGTGCAGACATACTTACCCTCAGTAGGGCTATGTGATGGGGAGTGTAGACAACGGCATTTTGTGACACCAGCTTCCAGTTTCCCACCACACAGCTTCAAGTGAGTTGGTAATAGCAGTAAGGGTGTTACAGGGTGGGTGGGATCTTGCCGGATTTCTCCAGCGATTCTTTGAAGACTTCGGTGTACTGAATTGTCTTTGCTGCTCTTTTACGAGTTTGGGACTACACAAGCAGGATGATTAATCTCCGCTTGAAATAGATGCCTAACATGTTTTCCTCTGTGTTGAGGAGGAGTGGGCAGCGTCCTTAGTAATTTTACCCAATTGCTCATATTACAAAGGACACAATGAGGTGCTTGTCTAAGCTCAGGAAGCTCTTTTGTGGCAGAGTTGGGACTAAAACTCAAGTCCTCTGACTCTCAGAATAGTGCCCTGGCACAACACACATTCAACTAAATAAATGTTGGAAAAGAGTTACTTTTTGAGCTTTGGACTTGTTCCCTTATTTGTCCCATTTGTTACATGCTACTCTGCAGTTTAACACTTGCTAAAAAGTATTAGATCTCTGTCTTATAAGCCTCCATGTTATCCCCTTTCTCAAAATGATCACAGATAGAGAGGTTTGCTCGAGGAAATGTCCAGAAGTCTTTGGGAGCTGCTAAAGAGCAGGGGAGCTTGGAGTGTAAACAGTGGGAAATATTCTAAGTCTCTTCTTAGAAGAGCTTTTCAGCTGAAAGAGGACATTACATTTTAAAGACTGACTTCATATCTTTTATAAGCTTGAATTAATAGAATTTCTAAATTATTTACTATGTAGACTCTTTCTTT